CGCGGTTGCGGAAGACTATTTTTGACTACAATGACATCACATCTAGAGTTTGCATTGTTGTTGACCAGCTGACTTTCAACAAGCTGTCACGCAATCTTTCCCCCTCCCCCTCAATCTTCCCCTTGCGGTCAGCAATGCAAGTTTTAAGAAAAACAATGAGCATTTTCGTTATTGTTTTTGGAATTTTTTCGCTGGCAAACCTTTGCATAAACGCCGGTACAGCTTCGTTGCAGTCACAGCCTAATATTTTATTTGTTTTGGTGGATGACCTCGGCTGGAGTGACGTGAGTTTCCACGGATCGAAAATAAAAACTCCGCATGTCGACAAATTAGCAAGCGAAGGAGTAATCTTGAACAGTTACTATGTCCAGCCTATTTGTACGCCAACAAGAGCAGCTTTACTGTCTGGAAGATATCCTATACATACTGGTAAGTATTCGTGTTAAATACCAATCCGCTAAATAGGCCATTTTACAGTTGTGTGCTTAGTGCCCTGGCCTTTGAATAGACGCGAGGCTGGCGATAACCTTGTTTTGTTACAAACCTGCCTGCTTTTCAAGTGCAAATCGTGGCATCCTCATGCTAACAAGCCCGTGAACATGATCATTTACATATGAAAAACAAGAAGGTTTGTAGCAAAACGAGGTCACCGCCAGCCTCGCGTCTATTCAAAGGCTAGGGCACTAAGCACACAACTGTAAAATGGCCTATTGGCACAATTCAATTTGAGAGGAGAGATAGCTTAGGACTAAAAGTGAATGAGGTTATCATTAGATCCCATCGACCGTAACGTAGCCCCTTCGGACACCTCATGAAATTTTACACAACCTAGTTTTCCTCTTCACTAATTGGGGTTAAGCACTGCCTTTTACAGATTAGGGTTAAGCACTGCCTTTACAGATTACGGTTAAGCACTGCCTTTACAGATTAGGGTTAAGCACTGCCTCTACTGATTAGGGTTCAGCACTGCCTTTACTTATTAGGGTTAAGCACTGTTTCAAAACTGGTTAGGTTCATTTTTTGGGTTGGGGTTGATTCCATATGTGCTTAAATTATTTCACTTCCATCCAGCAAATCCTCAGTGGTCTAGTGAGGCCCTGCCAGGGTAAATTCCGACAAGCGAGATGGCCCAAAAAGTAGGGACAGCGCGTAAAATAAAATTGCGACAAGAGACAACCTCCCTTAGCCAAATTGCGACAGTGACGGCAAAGCCGACAATAAGCGACAAGCATTTATAAACACCGACACGAATCGTTTTAAAATTCAGATGGGCGACATGGGACCCCTCCTGGCAGGGCCTCTCTAGTGGTTAGTGTAGTGTAGTGTACTGGACCATTTGGGTCAGGTTCGAATCCTACTGTCTTTCATTTCAATTTTTTTTCTTTCAAATTAAAGAGACTTGCACTTTCATGAACATTTCCAGCTTGAAATATCATCTAAGATGGTCATCTAAGTGTGATATAAAAGCAGAAAACATCTCTACCTTGTGTAAAATTTCGTGAGGGGAGAAAGGGGCTATGGCCAATGGGATCTAATGCTGACCAGTGAATGAAATATCTTCACCCCCATCTCCCACAAATTGACCCAGCCCCCAAATGACATTATATTAAGTCTTACCAATCAACATTTCTATCTGAGAGACTTGACCCTTGAATAATCCAGGAGTTGGCGTATAGTGTTAAGGTCATCTGGTACGTACAGTAAGACTTCCTCTTAAGGTTTTCACTTTGTTTAGTTTTTTGGGCAAAATAATATTAAAGCAATAACTACCTTTCTTTTTTTCCTTGCAGGCCTGCAACATGGAATAATTCATAATGGAGATCCATATGGCCTGCCCTTGAATATAACCACATTACCACAGAAACTTAAGAAAGCTGGTAAGGTTAAAACCCATTGACCTCCCCCCTTTCCCAACTCTTTTGTCTTAACAGTGAGCTATTTTTGAATTTTCTCAATCCTCCCTTGGTTTACAGTGTGAACCTCAATTTACATGTTTTTCATTAATACTTATATTCAAAATATTTCTCTGTTTCTGACTGCCTCAAATCCCATGGCTGCAATATGTAATTCTTCATAACCAGGTGACGTGTTAATCAAACATGGGTGACATCCAATAAACAGAAATATGTTTCAAATTTTTCCTTCAACCTGATTGGCAATTTGACAGGGGCAGTGTTATAACAGGCCAATCGTGGCACATACTCAATCCTAGTTCACAGCTAAGGACTGATAACAAGGATTTTGGCTCTGTTTCCCAGACAGACTTAACAGAAGTTTAATTTCATCTGTGGCACAGGCTATTTTGGTGGAGCTCAGGAGAAAATGGTGGAAAATTTCACACATTCTACGAACAAGAAATAGCTGTACTACGTAATGCCAAAAAAAATAACTGAAGAACAGTCAATATCTGCTTGGGGAAACAATGATTTCTTAATATCTTGATTTCACTGTGGAACAGTCTTATAAAGAAGGAATGACATTGATTGAGATAAGCTTTCGCATAATGTGAAGAACAGGCCATTTCTGAGTTCCAAAAACTCTCTTTTTCAAAATGAGGCTAAGAGCAAAACCTCTTTTGTGAAAATGAGGTTTATTTGCATGAGAATTAAAAATCATTTTTATATCAGTGGTTTTGCACTTAGCCCTGCTTTGAAACAGAAGCTGGAGGCAATTTGGAAATGGCCCATATTATGCATATCTTAGAGGATGTTATCTGCCTCTGCCTAATTGGCCTTGGCAGGTAACACCCTTCTTGATCTGCATAATTCTTTACATCAAACTCAGCCGCATCTAATAATAATAATTATTATTAGATGCGGCTGAGTTATTATTATCTTGATCTTTCCTTGTTTTATATTAAAATGTTAATGACTGGTCCCAAGGAAAACAAAATAACGATCTTCTCAGTCATTTAGTTCTTGATTTAATTTCAGGTTACAGTACCCACATGATTGGAAAGTGGCATCTGGGATTCTACAACTGGGACAGCACTCCTACTTATCGTGGGTTTGATACCTTTTATGGGTTTTACAGTGGTGCCGAGGATCACTATACCCACGTACAGGACCATTATCTTGACTTGAGAGATGATGAAGAAATAGTCAGGGACCTGAATGGCACTTACTCTGTTAATGCTTTTGCAAAGGTAAATGTGAAGGCTAAGTAGCTAAACTGGGAGTCTGTTCACACTTGTTGTCCAACCGGGGTGCCTAAAGTGCAATACTCATTGTGAGTGCTAATGTGAACACCGACACTGTTTTTTAAGAATGATCCTTGCTAGAATTCAGGCATGGTAGATGTTTATGACTGCTGTGATATTATTTTTCAAAGTGGCAGACCGAAATGGAGCAAATGTGTACACAGACATTTACAAATCATGTTCCCAATTTTCAGTCAATGCTTGGCCCTATGTGACAATATGTTCCTGGTGGGGATGAGCATATATCACCTACATAAGAATGTGCTGCCCAACAGCTGGTTTTGGATCTATAAGAGGGTTCTCACATTTGAGATACTGATTCCTAAAATTAGTGTACTGGGTGCTATAGCAACTGTAAATCAGATGTATGAAGGTGTCAAAAGTGTTAATGTTAAAAGTAAATATTTTGAATGAGGTTTGAAAAAAAATTTGAACACAAAATTCTCGTTGAAGATTAAACCACTGTGGGTATCCAGGCTTCTGAAGAAATGATAAGGCAGAAAGAAAAATAAAGAGCTTCAAAATGCATTCTACTATTCCATCTGCGCTTGCTAAGATCCATTTTCCTACAAAATTTTATTATTAATTTTGCAGTTTCCTCATAACTTAGGCGGTATCAAATCGTTTGCTTTCCAAAATTTTAGCCAAATTTCACACATTCAATGTGGGGTTCTCTATGCCTTAGCTTATTAGAATCGAACTGGCTTATGTTAGTCAATTTCTCTGTTTTAGCGTGCTCAACAGATTGCCAAATCACACAATAGCAGCAAGCCTCTTTTCCTGTACATGGCTTTTCAAAATGTTCATGGCCCTGTGCAAGCACCCAAGGAACACGTAGACAAGTACGCATTCATTAAAGACCCTGTTAGAAGAACCTACGCAGGAATGGTTGACATAATGGATGAAGCTGTTGGAAATATAACAGATGCGTTCAAGGAAGCTGGGTTTGTTTCAAATTTGTTTTCATTGGTAAACTTCGCATAAGGACGGAAGAGCTAAGAAGACGGCAAACCTTGCACTGTGTTCGAGCTTGACAATAATTTCGGTAGAAAAAAATTCCGCCAAACTTTACCGTCCTTTAAACAGATCTTTTTGTATCAGAACACAATTTCAGTGAAGAATCACCGCAAAACGCGCAGGTAATATAGTCCTGTCACGTTTGTCACACACAGATGTTTTGCTGTCCTCTTCGTCCTGTTGTCCTGTTTCGCAAACGTTTTTTTAGAAAACTTCTACGAGTAGCCAGTACGATGTGATTGGCTCAAAAAGAGCGCGCCATTTTTTCAGCCAATTAGCCTGTTCCAGGCTGGAAAGTGCGCGAAATGGAGAGTGGAAGTTGAGTGGAAGGGAAAAAATGCAGAAGAAAGGGAGAGTTTTACTGCTCAATTTTCCTTGCGCCGTCACCACTATCTGAACTCCTGGGCCCAGTTGTTCGAAGGCCGATTAGCGCTTTTCCCGGGGTTAAATTTAACCCGGGTTTCTTTTTCTTGTGTTCAAAAGCATTTTCTCGGATAATTTTCTCTGTTATATTTAGAGCTTTCAATCATCAACTTGTAGACACAAAGAATTAAAACTGAAATGCTTTTTAAGCTTTCAAATCTGAATTCAAATCTTGCACTAACCGTGGGTTATCTTAACCCAGCTTTGAACAACTCGGCCCTGGATAAGACTACCAGACAATCAGAACTAAACCTACCCAAATCAGTAATTAGTTTAAATAGCGTTTTCCTTGCAGCTCTTCGGTAACGGTACTTTTGCATTGTAAAACAGAGTTTAGCATCTATGCGGTCCCAAAGCACTTAAGTTTTCCAAGTGTGTAGTAACCTTGTTCGGCCCCGTCGCCAGTATCGCCAAACCTGAGTTGTTTGACAGGAAGCTTGGTCTTATCAGTAAGGAGACCGCTGTCTCGACGCCATGCGTTGTCATTCGCATCACAGTTACAGCCATAACTAGGGTTTGCACACGAGTTAGTCATCCCGCATGCGCACTTACTATTGCCAGATGCTCCGCCCCAGTATGCCATCTTAGTAGAATCACGTGACACCCACCAACCAAACGGATCGTTCTTGTAGAGCAAAACCGAGTTGTAACACTCATACTTGATAAACTGTTCACACTGTGAAGAGACTGTGGTGAGACTCGCCAGCTGAGAGAGACTCGCTCCTGTATAATGAATGTCACGGGAAAAACTACCCTGACCTTCATATCCTTTCACGGATGTTCTGCTTTCACTGTCGTGACTGATGACTGTCACGCCAACTCCATTTTTAGCTGTCATGTTACAATAAACGGTGAACGGTGCCATACCTCCCTCGCCGTCAGGATCAATGACGTAGTTTCCGCTCACACTGCTGACGTTCTTTATAATAACAGAACAGGAAGTAGCCCTCACTGGAGAATTGATTTTAACTTCTGTTTCTATCGTTTTGAGGGCGTTAGTTGCTCTGCAGGTATAAGATCCTCTGTGTGATTTTTTGATGCTGTTTAGTACGAGAGTGTTATTTTTAAGAACTCTCGAACCAACAGGAAGTATAGAGCCATCCTTTGACCAAGAAATTACAGGTCTCAGGTCACTCTCGGCTACACAAGGCAGAGGAAGAGTGGAGTCAATCACCGGAGTCAATTCTTGAGGAGGACGGACTTTGAACCGCAAAGGAGAGAATATCATGAGTACAACCGTATCTGTTACTGATCCCAATATATTCTCTGCCTTGCAAATGTATGTTCCACCGTCTTCTCTTGTCACTTGGTAGATCGTTAGGGCTCCATGCATGACTTCATTTCTGTCCTTTGGCAAATTACCAACGGCTTTAGACCACGTGATGCTAGGCGGCGGCTGACCAGTAGCACTGCAGCTGATGGTTACGTTTTGTTTCTCTTCAGCCATGAGGCGATTTTTTGATAATAATAGCTTAGAGAGAACTGAAAAAGGAAGGAAGAATGGATAAAGAAATCCCAATTTTGATTTTTCCGAAAAAAATAAACTTTCTGAGCCTATTTCACATGACATAAAATTAACAAACCTTTTCAGTTCCTATAAAGACCAAAACCATTCATTAAGGGAAAAAATGACTTACACTGCACCGTTAACTTCGCTGTTGCGTTAATGCTTCCCAGCAAATTTTCAGCTTTGCAGGTATACTGGCCTTCGTCTCTAGGTCTAACATCCTGAAGAATCAGAGCGCCACTGGACTCTACCACGTGACGCTCGAAAGGAAGTGATGAATTAATTTTAGACCATGTGACCTTGGGAGGAGGATTGCCAACCGCTGTACATTTCAAGATGGCTGTCTGACTTTTGTTAACTGTCGTTCGTTCAGGACTTTGCAATAGAGAAGGAGCCGAGATGGATTGTCCTGGTGCCCCTTTCTCACCCGATGGGCCTCTAGGTCCCGTGGGACCTGGCGGACCCTGCAGTCCGGGATCCCCCTTTTTGCCCATTGGTCCCTGAGGTCCTATTGGTCCATGTTTACCAGGAGGTCCTGCTGGGCCGGGTTTCCCCCGGGGCCCCGATATACCTTGGGGTCCTCGTCTCCCCCGCCTTCCTGTGTTACCTTTTGGTCCTGGTCGACAAAGCTTTTCATCTTTGGCACAGATTTGATTTTGCAGCAAACGAAGCTCTTCTTTAATCAGCAGTTTTACATCAGAAGCTGTTTTGACCGGTTTCGCGTGTGAGTTGTCTGGTGAAGTGCGTTTTTGTCGTGACGAGGATTCTTGACCTTATGAAAGATAATAGAACGTGAAATTTGCTGATCTGATAAATCTCAGTGACAATCAGTAAAAGCAAATGCCAATAAAAGCGATTTCCTCTTTTTGATTGGCTTGCCAGAAGCGGGGCAAAATTGGCTTATTTGAGTGAGTACATTTCGTTAAGAAGCAAACTAATTTACCTCTGATGATCATTTCCTCTTTCGTCTTGACGTTTATGGTTGATTTAAGAAAAACCAGTGTTTTTGAAAGGAGATCATTATTAAACGTCGCTCACCGGAGGCCTAAAACGATTCACCTTGTTCCTGGCGGAAGCCAATTATGACCACCTATCTTTGCCCTCGTTTTTCTCAATACTTACCTTCCATCTCCTCTCTTAAATCTGAATCGCTGCTTTCGGTTACTCTCCATCTTCCATTGTTCTGATGCACTCGAAGGATTTCTGTTTCCAACTGACCACAACGTGTCACTGAGTGTGAAATCAGTTGATGATGTTCTTGTACTCGAAGTTCTACGTGAATAAGTGCGATACAGCACACAATTGACAGCAGCAAACCTGACTTACAACACAAACTGTCAAATGTTTTAACTCTGGTCGTATGCTTCTCTTCTGCCCTTGTTTGTGTCATAATAACTGAAGTGTCTTGTTAGGCCTAGGGTCTCACAAACCCTAAGTGAGACAGACGTCCTTGAAAGGGCTTTGAAACTTGAATAATTGAAATACTTCGCCCGTTTATACACTCTCAATATCTTTTTAGTCAATAATCTATTTATAAACCTGACGAATATGAGTTTTTTGGTGGAACAACAAGGAGAAAAGGGGATAGACTAGGAGTTGTCTCAGCTTGTTTGGGAATTTAAGCACGGCAGGAAGTTTTAGTAATATTAGGGTCAAATAGAGAGAGTTAATAGCACAGGTCAATGTTTATTTGTATTTTAATGCAATACCTTTCCTTGTGGTTTTTGAGGAAGTTATTAGAAAAGTTAGTTACAGAAGTGACAGACGCGTCTTTATTTCTTCTTCATGCAACTCATGCGTTTTGCTCATTGTGCCCAAAATTCGTCGCGCATCTTGTCACGTTTCAGTTCGAGAGGTCAGGCATTCGCTGCCGGCCTTGCGTAATCCCTTTATAGGACCCATTCTTCCGCGCGGCAGTGTCACGTGGTTAGCGTGGCATGGCAGTGCATGTCTGTGAAGACCTGGGTAAACAGTAGGCCCCGGTTCTTCAAGATTGACCACTATGCGGCAGATAACTATTAGAGAAACCAGTTATAGTGGTTTATCCAGTGGATAGCGTTATCCACTTTTTGAACAAATGGAGCCAGAACTACTGAAGGCCCACACCAGATATTTACTATTCTCATGTTTTGGACCACAAAGTATCTTATATTCATAACATGTAACACGCTTATCTTTTGTTGTTTCGTCGTCTCGCGAGTCGGACGCCAACTTACCGAGCTTCCACATTGTTGTTTGAAAATCGCGTCTTATCTTAAAAGATTTGAAATTGACAAATTGCACATAGAAACGGAACCTAACGTTTATTGATTTTTTCACGCTTTATTCGCAATCTCGTTCTTAGAAACTCTTCATGCGGTAAAAGAGGATAATGTTATGCTATTTTCGAAAGATGCTTTGTTAAGCACAAATGTTGTACTTTTTTTTCCAAGAACGCAGTTAATTATAGATATAAACGTTCGAAAAGCCAATGTGATCTAGCAGTTCTCGTGAGGTCTTACATGATTGGCTCGATACCCACTTGAAAAAACAAGCAAAAGAAGTATTCTTAGCCCTTAAAACAACAGATGTACTACAATACTGTCTAAACATCGATGGTCACACATGCAAAGTCGCAGCCGGCCGGCACAGACGTTTCTGTCGTGTTAAAACGCGTCATCGTTTTTCGTACTGGGTGCGTGAAAAGACTATTTCTGTCTGAACTGCTTCTCCAGACAATAAACTCACGCTCACGATAAAGAACAGAACTGTTTTAATACTTCTAAATCTCTCTCGGTAAAGATCACTAACTCTCGCCATGTGCTTTTTTGCTGATACATCACTTCTTGAAAGCGACATCCTATAATATCCATAATCCATCGAGGGTCCGGGGCTGCTGGAATCCCACGCGGACTGATCAAATGTTTCATTTTTTTTGCGCTTGCTTTGTAAGAATTGTAGGCTCATAGTTGGATGCTTAACAGTGTCAAAGCAATAAATACTTTAATATGTTTCTACTCCTCTTTTAAATGACTTACAAGACTATCGCATTAAAGGAAGTAGTAAAAGGGCGTAGGATTTTTTAATCTCTTGTACTATTTTTGTTTGGTTTTTATTCTCGTCAAATAAATGTCTATTAATATATTTAACCAGGGCGAAGGCAATTTGCTTACCATGCCTACGAAATGCCGGATTTCTTCCGACCATCCTTTCTCTTTTATGAAACTAATAACGTTACAAAGTCGTTTTGCTTTTCGATTTTGGAATAAAAGAGAAGTAGCCTTAATTTATGCTGTCCCAAAGCACTTCAATTTTCCGAGCGTGTGGTAACCTTGTTCTCTGCCACCACCAGTATCCCCAAACCTGAGTTGTTTTACAGGAAGCTTGGTCTTGTCAGTGAGGAGACCGCTGTCTTCACGCCATACATAGTCATTCGCATCACAGTTACAGCCATAACTGGGATATGCACACGAGCTAATCATCCCGCATGCGCACTTGCTATTGCCAGATGCTCCGCCCCAGTACGTCATCTTGGTAGAATCTCGTGACACCCACCACCCATATTGATTGTTGTTGTAAAGCAAAACCGAATTGTAACACTCGTACTTGATAAACTGTTCACAACTCGAGGAGACTCTGGTAAGACTCGCCAGCTGAGAGAGACTCACTCCTGTGTAATGAATATCACGTGAGTAACTACCCTGAGCATTGTATCCTTTTACGGTTGTTCTGCTTTCACTGTCGTGACTAATAACCGTCACGCCAACTCCATTTTTAGCTGTCATATCACAATAAACTGTAAATGGTGCCAAACCTCCCTTGCCATCTGGATCAATGACGTAATTCCCGCTTAGACCGCTGACGTATTTCTTAATCACAGAACAGGAAGCGACACCAACTGGAGAATTGAGTTTTGCTTTCGCTTTGACTTTTGACAGAGCATTAGTTGCAGTACAGGTGTAATACCCTTCGTGCGATTTCTTGAAGCCGTTAAGAACCAGTGTGTTGTCTTGTAGAAAGCTTGTTTCAGCAGGAAGTGTAGTACCGTCCTTTGTCCAGGTAATTGTAGTTTTCAGGTCACTCTCGGCTACACATGGCAGACGAACGATTGAACCAAAGCTAACAGGTGTTGACTCTGTAGGGGGAAGGACTCTGAATCGCAGAGGAGAGAAAACCATAAGTTGAGCCGTCTTTGCTACTGAGCCAAGAATGTTTTCTGCCTTGCAAATGTACGTTCCACCGTCTTTTTTTACCATGTCGTAGATTGTTAGGGCTCCATTCATCACTTTATTTCTGCCTTTGGGCAAAGTACCTCCTAACGTTGACCACGTGATGGTGGGTTGCGGCTGGCCAGTAGTAATGCAGGCCATGGTGATGTTTTTTCTCTCTTCAGCCATTATGCGATTTGATGACAATACAATAGAGGGTGGACCTGGCAAGAAAAGAAACTCATGTTTTTTTGCAAACAAAATACAGTAAAAACCGCGACTAAAAACCTGCATTTTCTCAATTTAACCTAAACAGTTCTTTTTTACATAAATGGTAATAAGCACAACTTTAGGCTATTTAGGCTCTTCAATAGGTTCTTATTTTCTAAAAGAAAAAATACATCGTGGCTAAGAGTGTTTATTCTTTTCACTGCCCAAGTTTTTGATAGAGTTTTGTAACGTGACTCTAACTTTTGAGTCTGTGGACGAAATCCTATGATGTGACCATTCAGATGAAAGCTCTCTGCCTGTACTTTCACGTGATGCTATTTGTTTCTCAAAGTTTTAGAAAATGAAATTTGGAAATCTGGTCGAAATTTGCCTTTGGCCACTAGACCGTCACTTTTCCAATTCTCATCAATCGAGTAAGGAATCCATTTTGGTGGGACGCTCGTCTCGGAGGAAAACAGAAGAGACGGACTTAGCGCAGTTTCGAGACTTCTCACTGCAGACCAAATTTCTGGACTAGTCAATCTTTTTTCCTTTAGTCAAACTGGTTTTTCGAATGCGAAATCCAATTGTTGATACACAGATGGTCATAACTGGGCCCTCTGTACCACGCGCACAGATTCTAAATTGTATCCTAGCAACACGTAGCGTGTGCTCAACGAAGATCTTACTCGATTCTTGCATTCTTGAGTGTTTGGCGAGTACAGTAGTCATGTGAATTTGAAGTGATATTTGAAGTGATATGAAGTGATATGTCTCCGAAGAGGGTCCTGAATGTTGACTTATCTTATTTCCTTAAGTGTACAGAATTTTTTTGGTAGATTTTAGAAAATAAGAATGTGTTTCAAATTTTAGGGCTAAACAAGTTCTTGTATAGAGGGGGCCTAACTGGCAAATTTTAGCCTAACAGGTTCTTAGTCGCGGGTTTTACCGTACTGATAGAATGAAAGCCGTTGCGACCAATAGTTACTGTCCCTTTTAGAGATGTATGCAAGTTTTAAAGATGGTCAAAGGAAATAAATGAAGAACGGTAAGAAGAGAACAACCCTAGTTGTCCGTTAGAACTCTCTTAGAAACATGTCGGAAAATGTATGAAGATGAGGGGCACCTTTTTTAAAAATCTTGAAGAAAAAGAAGGAACTTACACTGCACCGTTAGCTTCGCTGTTGCGTTGATGTTTCCCAGCAAATTTTCGGCTTCACAGGTGTATTGGCCCTCGTCCCCAGCTCTAACATCCTGAATAATTAGAGCACCACTGGACTCTGCCACGTGACGACCGACAGGAAGTGATGAATTCACTTTAGACCATGTGACCTTTGGTGGTGGATTGCCAACCGCTGTACATTTCAAGATGGCTGTCTGACTTTTATTGACTGTCGTTTCAACAGGCTGTTGTAATAGGGAGGGAGCCGAGATAGATTGTCCCGGTGCGCCTTTCTCTCCCGGCGTACCTCTGGGTCCTGCGGGACCTGGCGGACCCTGCAGTCCGCGATCCCCCTTTTTGCCCATTGGTCCCTGAGGTCCTGTTGGTCCATGTTTACCAGGAGGTCCTGTTGGGCCGGGTTTCCCTCGGCGGCCTTGTATTCCTTGGGGTCCTCGCCTTCCCCGCCTTCCAGTGTTACCTTTTGGTCCTGGTCGACAGAGCTTTTCATCTTTGACACATATTTTATTCTGTAGGAGACGAAGTTCTTCTTTAATCAGCAGTTTTATATCAGAGGCTGTTTTCACAGGTTTCGCTTGTGAGTCATCGGATGAAGCACGTTTTTGTCGTGACAAGGTTTCCTGACCTTATGACAGGAAATAGAACATGAACCGTGTTTATTTAATAAACTTCAGTGATTAATTCACTTTGTCTTTTTCGGTTTCTGAAACTGGGAAAGACATAGTGAATTGATCACATGGCTCCCCAAGCGGGTAGGATTTGAATGTACAATTCGCTTAAAAGGAAACCATTTTACCCTGCAACGTTCATTTCCTCTTTCGTTTTGACCGTTGCGTTTCATTTTAAAAAAGCAGTGTTTCTTAAAGGGGATATTAACACATGTCCTTCACCGTAGGCCTAAAACGATTCACCTTGTTCCTGGCGGAAGCCAATTATGACCACCTATCTTTGCTCTCTTTTTTGTCAATACTCACCTTGTCCCAAATCTGAATCGCTGCTTTCGGTTACTCTCCATCTTCCATTATTCTGATGCACTCGAAGGATTTCTGTTTCCAACTGACCACAACGTGTCACTGAGTTTGAAATCTGTTGATGATGTTCTTGTACTCGAAGTTCTACGTGAATAAGTGCGATACAGCACACAATTGACAGCAGCAAACCTGACTTACAACACAGACTATCAAATTTGTCAACTCTGGTTGAGTGCTTCTCTTCTACCCTTGTTTTTGTCATGATAACTGAAGTGCCTTGTTAGGCCTAGGGCTTCAGCAACAACTAGTTAAGCAGGGCTCCTTGAAATTAATAAAGAAAAGAGCTTTAAAACTTTTGAACAATTGAAGCAGTCTCAAAACCTTTTTTGCTCAAATATCTATTTATATCCCTGACGAATATGGGTGATTTGATGGAACGACAAGTAGAAGAGGGGAAAGGCTTGGAGTTGTCTCAGCCTGTTTGAGAATTTAAGCACGGCAGGAAGTCGTAGTAATACTATAGGGTCAAATAGAGATAGTTTACAATTACGAACCAGAAGGAGCACGCTTAGCACAGGTCAATGTTTATTTTGTATTTTAATGCAATACCTTTCCGTGTGTTCTCTGAGGAAGTTGTTAGAAAATTTGGTTACGGACGTGACAGATGTGGTTTTTGTTCTTTGTAATGTAACCTACATCGTGCCCAATACCATTCGCGTATTCTGTCACGTTTCAATTTTAGATGTCGGGCATTTTCCGCCGGCCATTCCTAACTCCTTAGGACTCATTCTTCCTCGCGGCTTTTTCCCAACAATGTTACGTGGTTTACGTGGGATGACAATGCATGACCGTAAGAAAATGCACTTTATTTGAGCGTCATTTTATTTAGAAGAACGTATTAATTGGGGACACCAGTTTTTACGTCTGTTACTGGAGACGGGTCGGCCATAAAGTTACGTGGTCGTCCGAGCTACGCGAAGGTCTAGCCGTTTACAGAGCAAGGGCAGTACCTTCATTCCTCAGTTATTTGAAGACCCTGAGTATTGGTTCGGCTCCGGGAATCGAACCCAGGACCTCCCGCTCTGCAGTCAATTGCTCTACCGACTGAGCCTTTTTTTGCCTGGGTAAACTAGGGACGGCCTTCACCTGAATTGAAAACCTTATGTCTTGGAGCTCAAAGAATCTTATACTCATAACATGTAACAAGCCTCCTTTTGTCCATTTCCCCGCAATTTGACGCCATTCGAGTCGCGCCGTAAACGTACCGTACTAACATGAGTTACATTTTTAAGATCGCATCTAATTTGTTAACAAATTGTACATAGAAACGGAAGTTTTAAGGGAGACTAACGTTTATTCCTTTTTTCGCTTTATTCCCAATCTCGTTCTAAGAAACGCTTCATGTGGTAAAAAAGCTTTTAAAATGTTATGCATTTTTTAAATGAGCTTTTGCCAAACATTTAACGTTTTTACCGAATATGTTTATTTAAACTCATGCAAGTATAAATATAACGTTCTAAAAACCACAGCAGCTCACGTAAGGTCTCAGTTGAATGGCTTGATATCCAGCTGTGAAATACAAGCAAGAGAAATGTTCCTAGCCCCAATGCAACAGAGCTGCAGCTACTCTACTGTCTTACTCTGATCTAGACTCTAAGATACTTATTTTTTCCTGACCTCGTTTTCGTGACATCCCTACTGTCTGAGAGCCTGGCATAGGCTATACTTTCTAAACATTGGTGGCACGATATAGCTAGTGCCTTACGCATGCGCGCAGTCGTCGCAATAGCAAGAGTGGACCGCAGATTCGGTGTGATTTTTTCTACTTTCTCTTTCACGACTTTCAAACTGTCGCATTTACAGAAGCATATAAAGGGCCTGTGGTTATTAATTAAACACTTGTACTATTTTCAGTTTGTTCATATTCTCGTCCAACAAAGTTTGATTAATGTATTGGACACGGCAATGACTAATACCAAAAAGAAGCGAAAGAGGGTAAACAACGGAAGCCGGCGTTTCAACTATCACTTGTTTTTCGGAACTAATAACGCTACAAACGCCTCGTGCTTTTTTAGTTTTGAATAAGAGCCTTAATTTATGCTGTCCCAAAGCACTTCAATTTTCCGAGTGTATGGTAACCTTGTTCGCTGCCTTCACCAGTATCGCCAAACCCGAGTTGTATTACAGGAAGCTTCGTCTTGTCAGTAAGGAGACCGCTGTCTTCACGCCATACATTGTCATTCTTGTCACTGTTACAGCCATAACTGGGATTTGCACACGAGTTGGTCATCCCGCACGCGCACTTACCATTGCCAGATGCTCCTCCCCAGTACGTCATCTTAGTAGAATCACGTGACACCCACCATCCACATTTATTGTTGTTGTTAAGCAAAAGTGAACCGTAACACTCGTACTTGATAAACTGTTCACAATGCGATGAGACTCTGGTGAGACTTGCCAGCTGAGAGAGGCTCACTTTTGCGTAACGAACATCTCGTAAATAAGTACCCGGGGATTCATATCCTTTCACTGATGTTCTGCTTTCACTGTCGTGACTGATGACTGTCACGCCAATTCCATGTTTAGTTGTAATATCACAATAAACAGGAAATGGTGCCAGACCTCCTTCGCCATCAGGATCAATGACGTAATTTCCGCTCACACTGCTGACGTTCTTTTTAATAACAGAACAGGAAGTAGCCCTCACTGGAGAATTGATTTTAACTTCTGTTTCTATCGTTTTGAGGGTATTAGTTGCTCTGCAGGTATAAGATCGTCTGTGTGATTTTTTTGATGTTGTTTAGAACGAGAGTGTTATTTTTAAGAACCCTCGAACCAACAGGAAGTATAGAGCCATCCTTTGACCAAGAAATTACAGGTCTCAGGTCACTCTCGGCCATACACGGTAGATGGACTGTGTATCCAACTGCAGTGTGCACTTCTTTGGGAGGTTTGACTTTAAACCGTAGAGGCGAGAAAACCATGAGTTGAGCCGTATCTGTTGCTGAACTAAGAGTATTGTCTGCTTTACAAATGTATGTTCCACCGTCCTTTTTTACTACATGATAGATTGTCAGGGCTCCATTCATCACTTTGTTTCTGTCTTTGGGCAGTTTGTTAACTGACTTGGACCACGTGATTTTGGGTATCGGCTGACCAGTAGCAGTGCAGGCGATAGTGACGTTTTGTTTCTTTTCAACCATCAGGCGATGTGATGACAGTACAATAGTGGGAGGAACTGACAAGAAATAGAAAATGTGTTACAGAGTAATGAACATCATTGCTTAATGCCTTAAATAAAAAAGTTGGAACTTACACTGCACCGTTAGCTTCACTGTTGCGTTGATGCTTCCCAGCAAATTCTCAGCTTCACAGGTGTATTGGCCCTCGTCCTCAGCTCTAACATCCGGAATAATCAGAGCGCCACTGGACTCTACCACGTGGCGACCGACAGGAAGTGATGAATTCACCTTATACCATGTGACCTTGGGAGGAGGATTGCCAACCGCTGTACATTTCAAGATGGCTGTCTGACTTTCATTGACTGTCGTTTCAACAGGACGCTGTAACAGGGAGGGAGCCGAGATAGATTGTCCCGGTGCGCCTTTCTTACCCGGCGGACCTCTGGGACCGGGGGGTCCCGCGGGACCCTGCATTCCGCGAGCTCCGTCCTTGCCAATTGGTCCTTGTGGTCCTACTGGTCCATGTTTACCGGGAGGTCCTGCTGGTCCGGTTCTCCCTCGGGGACCTGGTATACCTTGGGGTCCTCGTCTCCCCCGTCTTCCTGTGTTACCTTTTGGTTCTGGTCGACAAAGCTTTTCATCTTTACCACAGATTTGATTTTGCAGCAAACGAAGTTCTTCTTTGATCAGCTGTTTTACATCAGAGGCTGTTTTTACCGGTTTCGCTTGTAAGTCACTGGGTGAAGCACGTCTTTCTCTTGATTTGGTTTTTTGACCTCAAAAATAAAAGCCATTTATCAAAGATTGTAGAACATAATAATGTCTCTTAAAGAAATCGCTCAAGGTGAACAGTTAACGTTAGTTTAATGGTCATCTCCTTTAGCTTTAGTTTTGAACAACGAATTTTGCCCTTTGATGGTACCAACAATAAATATATTTTTTCAAATCCAAGGCTTTTTTATTTTCTTTCGGTGATCATTTTCTCGATTTACGTGTGACTATTATCAGTGTTTTATTAACCAGTGATATTTGCATAAGAAGAGGTAAGAGGCCTTGGTCTTGGCAAAGAGCTTAACTATTTCCGCTTTTAAAATTCTCAGTACTCACCCTCTGTTTCTTGCCCCAAATCTGAAGGGCCGCTTTCGGTGATTTTCCATCTTCCATTTTTCTTTTGAGCTCTTTGGATTTGTGTTTCCATCTGACCACAAAGTGCCACTGAGTGTGAAATCAGGCGATGATGTTCTTGTATTCGGAGTTCTACGTGAATAAGTGCGATACAGCACGCAATAGACAGCAGCAAACCTGACTTGCAACTCAAGCTCTCAAATGTGTTACTTCCAGTCTTATGCTTCTCTTCTACATTCCATTGTTTCATGATTTAACTGTCTTTTTGGGCCTACGTTTTCAGAAAGACCGAGTAAGTTAATGGCCCTTGAAATCAGTGAAGGAAAGGTCTTTTGTGAAACTCAAGAAATTAAATAACTAGGCCCGTGACATACGGCTTTTCTTAACAAATGACCCACTTATATCTTAACGAATATGAGGTGACATTATGAAATGACAAGTAAAAGAGAGGCCGGCGATAGTCTATTCGTATTCCGTGGGGGGTGCGGGGTAGAGAGACGACTGAATTCCGAGCGTTGTAATGTTGTCCGGTGACGTCACCTGCTTTTGCGAATATGGTAGTTATTTTCTGATTAGCTATTAGCTTTCCGAAATAGAAAACCTTTTGTTGTTGGCTGAACGCGCTAAAGAAAACATCCGGTATGAAATAGTGTTGACAGGCTGAACAAAAATACACGTGACCTTAGGGACGGACCATTAGAAAAGTTATGGGGGGGGGGGAGGGGAATCTTCGAGCCGCAGGAATTTTTTTCGTCATCAAATTCCTTGTATGAATTTTTTTTAGGCCATAGCATGAATATTTTTTAGGATTAATTGGCGTACAATAATTTTTTTCATTGAATTTTTTCTTGCGCGAAATTTCTTTTTTGTACTTCGCCCGCCCCTCCCATAAGTTTTCTAATGGTCCGTCCCTTAGACAAGGTATCCTTTAATCCCGAAACTGCAGGCTTGCTTTAGGCACTTGTAACAAAAAGATGCACTACCAGTACAGTCGCATAGACTATCAAGCTAGAACAAAAGGAATTGGGAACGGAGGAACAGTAGGACATCGCGCTCCAGACCACAGGAAATAATTACTCAAAAAGAATGAAACAGACCAGCGTCATGACCTCTAAGCCTTAAACTCAGAGCGGCAAATTAAGATTTGCCCAGTCAGAGTGTAAAATTTTCCGTGTACTGCATAGAAGTGAAAGAAAGAAAAAGGGGACCTCTGTAGTTTAAGCTAACTCCAAGTCCAAGGTCACGTTTCACACTATCATGAGCCTATGGGTCGTTTTTAGCCTGTTAATACCTCATTTCAAACTCGAAAAGTTAAATGATACCTTACATTTATTCCGGAGGCTTTATCGTCAAGCTTCACTGCACTCAAAACAGAAAACAATGCATATCGACTATATGCACGCTGTTGTTTACAGTTCCGTGACTTTTGGCTGCCAACTTCTTTAGAAATCGAAATTTATGCAAAAATGTATAAATTACTAGGTTACGTCACCGGACGGCACTATTACTCTCGGAATTCAGACGTCTAACGTTTATATGTATTGTTTTCTTATAGTGCATGGAGACGTATGACATTTCGGACTTGGCCATCGGTCGTCAAAATTTGATGGGAAGATTATTGCACAGTAGGAAGTTCAGGATTTGTTTTGTGTCGTCACGTGATGATGTAAAGAAACTAACCACAGGTTTATGTTGTAGGTAAATTCCGTTCTCATTTTTGACTAGGATTCAACCGAATTTTCGACAGTATTTTCTTTTTGTTTCTAGGCCTTAATTATTCATAGGAGACAAACATTGTGATTTAACCTGAGAACGATATAACCTACAACACATACACTTGAAAGCTTGTCTGTCTGTTTGCTTGTCTTTTCTGAGGAAGATATTAGAAAAAGTAGGTTACAGACGTGACAGACGCGGCTCTATAACTCCTAAAGCTCACGTGCCCATTACCTTCCGCTCATTTTGTTTAGTTTTGTCTTGCATTTACCCAACGTTGGTAAATCCGTTAGACCTCATTCCTCCGCGCTGCCATAGTCCTGCAGGGTCACGTGGTGCGCGTGGCGTGACGATGCTTGAGTTTTCGACCTCAAGGGATCTTAAAAATTCAAAATATAACAAGCTGTGGCCCTAAAGAAGGCTAATTTTGTTAACCGAAATATTGGCCTCAAATAAATCACCCCTTTGTCGTATTGCCAGCCTTGCATTCAGTTTTGTTTTAATTCTTACTTCAAGTGACCTCTGGCATTAGCATCTCTAGATTAGAGATCCGACAAGAAAGAACCAGTCGGTTTCATTCACGCGTTGAGTGGACCTCTGCATTCAGAGGTCTTAATAAGCTTCTCTTCTGTCTATTTTGACGCCACAAGTCGCTTGACCAACACACAATGAAATTTTGGATCGCTTTTAATGCAAAAGTATTTAAACTTTATAAATTGCACATTAAAAGTGGAGATTAAACAGGGCTTAACTTTAACACCTTTTATCTTTATGCATGGGACCTACAAATCTTTTGGTGAGGTGTTTATTTTAAGGTAGATAAATGGTCATTCGGTCTAGGCTGTGAGCGTTCTTGTTTTGATTGGCTTGATACCTCTATGTGAATAACAAACAAGAGTAATAATATCTCTTTCCACGAAAGCTTTCACACAATAATAGTCAGAATCTCACGCATGCGCTCAGCCCCGGTAGTAGCAGCCGTCGATAACAGTGACAGTATTTTTCAAATTACGTAAAAAATATTTATTAAACTTTTGCTTACTACTCTCTAACACGACCTGCAAGACTTTATGAACGCAGGTTTAAACAATGATATCCATACTTCAGTACTAGGAAAAAAGACAGGGTTATCAGTGCCATGTCTCGATTTTCGGTTGGTGTTAATTCTCGTGGAAAGAATTTAGCGTTTTTTGAATATGTTAAAAGATGACAGTTTGTTTACCATAAATACCAGCAAAAAAAGCGAGAAGAGCTAACCTACGGAATTGCGACCGGGTTTTTTATTGATTTACTGTATATGTAAAACATGGCTGTTAGTCTGCAGATTTCTTTATGAAACTATTAAGGTTAGGCATCCTTTTTTTACCTTTTCGGGTTTGAAATCACAACAACTAGCATCTATCTATACTGTCCCAAAGCACTTAAGTTTTCCAAGTGTATGGTAACCTTGTTCGGCCCCGTGGCCAGTATCACCAAACCTGAGCTGTATTACAGGAAGCTTGGTCTTGTCAGTGAGGAGACCGCTGTCTTCACGCCATACATAGTCATTCTTGTCACAGTTACAGCCATCACTGGGATTTGCACACGAGTTAGTCATCGCGCATGCGCACGTACCATTGTCAGATGCTCCGCCCCAGTATCTCATTTTGGTAGAATCACGTGACACCCACCATCCACGTGGATCGTTGTTGTAAAGCAGAACCGAAGCATAACAGTCATACTTGATAAACTGTTCACAGTGCGAGGAAACTCTAGTGAGACTCGCCAGCTGAGATACACTCGCTCCTTTGTAACGAACATTTCGTGAGTAAGCACCAATACTTTCATATCCTTTCACCGATGTTCTACTTTCACTGTCGTGACTGATGACTGTCACGCCAATTCCATTTTTAGCCGTCATGTCACAGTAAACGGTGAATGGTGCCAGACCTCCCTCACCATCTGGATCAATGACGTAATTTCTGCTTACACTGCTGACGTGTTTCCTTATCACAGAGCAGGAGGCCGCACTTACTGGAGAATTGATTTTGACTTTGGCTTCTATTGTTGTCAAAGGATTACTCGCTCTGCAGGTGTAAGATCCTTTGTGTGATATTTTGATGCTGCCAAGAACTAGAGTGTTGTTTTGAAGAATCCTTGAACCAACAGGAAGCGAAGAGCCATCCTTTGTCCAAGTTAGGGTAGGTTTTAGGTCACTCTCGGCCAGACACGGTAGACGAACGGTGGAACCAACCACAGGAATCAAAGTTTTAGGAGGTCTTTCTTTGAACCGCAGGGGAGAGAATATGACGAGTTGAACTGTGTCTTTTGCTGATCCTACAATATTCTCTGCTTTGCAGATGTATGTACCAGCATCCATCTTTGCCACATTGTATATTATTAAGGTTCTATTCGTCACTTCATTTCTTCCTTTTGGCCATGTTCCTCCCAATTTTGACCACGTGATCTCGGGTTGTGGCTGACCAGTAGCAATGCAGGCAATAGTGACGTTTTGTCTCTCTTCAACCATCAGGCGATTTGATGACAATACAATAGAAGGAGGAACTGGCAAGAAATAGTAAATAAATTTCATTCTGCGAACAAACTATTGATACAGTGAACACCGCTGCGACCAGTACTAATTGTCATTTTAAGGAGGCGTGCAAGTTATAAAGATGGTCAAAGGAAATAACTGAAGAGCAGGGTGAAGGACCAACTATAAGTGTCCGTTAAAATACTCATAGAAACATTTCATTTCATTAAGAAGGGGGACATCTCTTTTAAAAAAGTCTTGAAGAAAAAGACGCAACTTACACTGCACTTTTAGCTCCGCGCTGGCGTTGATGTTTCCCAGCAAATTTTCAGCTTTGCAGGTGTACTGGCCCTCGTCTCCAGATCTAACATCCTGAAGAGTTAGAGCGCCACTGGACTCTACCACGTGACGTCCGACAGGAAGTGATGAGTTAGCCTTATACCATGTGACCTTTGGAGGTGGATTTCCATTTGCTGTACATTTCAAGGTGGCTGTCTGACTTTCATTGACTGTCGTTTGAACAGGTCGCTGTAACAGGGAGGGAGCCGAGATAGATTGTCCCGGTGCGCCTTTCTTACCCGGCGGACCTCTGGGACCAGGAGGTCCTGGCGGACCTTGCATTCCGCGAACCCCCTTTTTGCCAATTGGTCCCTGTGGTCCTACTGGTCCATGTTTACCAGAAGATCCTGGTGGTCCGGTTCTCCCTCGGGGACCCGGTATACCTTGGGGTCCTCGTCTTCCCCGTCTTCCAATGTTACCCTTTGGTCCTGGAAGACATAGTTTTTCATCTTTGACACAGATTTGATTCTGCAGCAGACGAAGTTCTTCTTTAATGAGCAGTTTTACATCAGAAGCTGTTTTTACCGGTTTCGCTTGTGAGTCATCTGATGAAGCCCGTTTTTGTCGTGACGAACTTTCCTGACCTTATGAGAGAAATTAGATCACAAACCGTGTTTATTGAAAAAACTTCAGTAACAACCAGTGACGCAAATACCAATAAAAGAATTGATGGTCACTATGGCAGGCTCGGCGACCCGGAAAGACCAAACTAAATCTCTGTCTTGGTTGGCTGCCTGAGTGGGCAAGAAGAGCCTATCTGTACTTAGAGTACAATTAGCAGCAAAACATTATAAAAAATAGTACGATTTTTTTAATTTTAACAAACATGTTTCGACGGTACATCCGTCATCGTCAGTGTGACGGTTATGAAAGTTTACAGCTGATAAAACATGCCTGTTACAATCTACAGTATACGTTACTTAAGCACTTAAGCACTTTCTATGGGTTTACCGGCGTGATAACCCACGCGGGATGTTGGGACAACACGAGTTAATTCGACTCGTGATTTACAAGCTCTTCGAGTGTTCTCCCAACATCCCAAGTGGGTTATCACGCCGGTTGACCCATAGAAAGTGTGGTCTATTGCTTTTATAAAATAACTTTAGGTTTTATATGAGTTTACCAGCACCATAAAAACTATAGGTTTTTAACCAATCAGAACGCGCGTACTATCTCAGTTATTTTATAATTAGTATGTCTAATCAAATGGTGACGAGTGAAAAGCTCGGGAAATTATTAGGATTTGGACAAAACGCGCGTGAAATTATTCCCTAATTTCACGAGTATACCATTTGATTACCTATTAATATCATGGGTGACGAATTACGTTAGCAATCTTGGATTTTCGACATGTTTTTCTGGGATCGTATCGATCGAGAACTCCTGCACTCTCTCGAACGTTTAGAGCTTAAATTTGGCTTAAGTTCAGAGTTTTTCGACAAAATGCCTGTTAGAATCCTTCTCGATGTGCTCTTTCGTGTCTTCAGGTTTTCTAAAGAGTCTTTTTGTGCCCTGACATCTTCATTCATGACATTTTAAAACTTCGTCGCCATCTTTACACTAAGACGTACGTTAGGTTGCCATGACAATTTTGTAATTTCACATGTGAAATTACAAATTAACGCTGAAATTTCGCGCCAAAATTAAGGAGTAATTCGTCACCTAAGATATTAGCGTTGGAAATCAATACGCTACATAAATTTAAAGTTAACAAAATTAATAGATGCGCGTGCACGCAACTATAGAGAAAGCGTCAGATTGATGTGTTTCACCTGTTGATTAAGATGAGGCTTTTCCCACTTAATGTACATAGACTCCGTGAGGCGATCTGTCCGATGACATGTGCTCGTGCACGCTCGTGGAAAAGTGTCGGTTTGTTTTGCCCACGTAACAAGCGTTACAGCTTATAAGTAATGGTGACAGGACTGAGTGGAGTCCAATTCGGTCTGTAATCATACGAGTGATTAACAAAATCGGACGACCGCGAAGCGGGAGTCCGATTTGTTTAATCACGAGTATGATTACACACCGAATTGGACGACACCAAGTTCTGTTACCAATTAATCATAACTTTAACAAAATTTGTGACGTAATAGGCTGTTTTTTAAATCAAAACACAAGAAATTCGAAATTTTGTTTAGCTACCAGTGAAAAAAAAGCCATTTAAGCGCGCGCGTGATGGCGCGTAGTGTCCAATTACTTAGGCATGACGCGTAAAGTCCTATTAAACTGTCCAATTAAGGTTGAAATCAGGGCTGTTGATAGCCAATCAGATTTGACAAGTTTGTTATAGTTATGATTATACTGCTTATCGTTAGGCCTAAAACGATTCACTTTGTTCCTGGCAAAAAGCCAGCTATCTTTGCTCTCGTATTTTCCAGTACTCACCTTCCGTCTCTTGTCCCAAATCTAAATGGCTGCTTTCGGTTACTCTCCACCTTTCATTTTTCTGTTGAACTCGAAAGCTTTCCGTTTCCATTTGACCCGAGCGAGTCACTGGGTGTGAAAATAAGCGATCATGTTCTTGCATTCGAAGTTCTACGTCAATAAGTGCGATACAGCACGCAATAGACAGCAGCAAAGCTGACTTGCAACACACACTGTCAGTTTTTGTAACTCTGCTTAAATTCCTCTCCTCTGATCTTACTTGTTTCATGATAAAACCGCTTGGTTAGGACTACTACGTCACAAAGACCAAGTGAAGCAGGGACCTCACACTGAAACGGCTTTCCAACTTGGCCTTTGATAATCTGACGGTGTATCGCTTTCCTACACAATCTATTTATATCTCTGACAAATATGATTGACATGATGAAACGACAAGTGCCGGGAGTTATCCCAGTTTGATGTACGAATATAAGCGCAACAGGAAGGCACTGGTCATAATAAGGTCAAATAGAGTTTATAATTTACGAAGCGTGAGGAGCACGTCTTGCACAGGTTTATACATTTGAATTTTTTTGTTGATTTGTTTGTTTTTAATACTTTTATATGTTGTTTTTGTGGAATTTATTAGAAAATTTAATCAAGGACGTGACAGGTTAGGTTGTCGTTCTTTCGGGACGGGTGTTGCGCATGTGCATATTACAAATGACGCCACTGAACTGTTACGTTGTATTTCTCAAATACCCGTAAACGCATTTATCCTCTTTAGGCCTTATTCTTCTGCTTGGCCATAGTGCTATTGGGCCACCCGGTTTACGACTTGTCCCCCGAGAGATTATAGTGACTATGAAAGGCCCACACCTGACTTAAAAACCTGATGTTGTCGACCTCAAATAATCTTTACTTTATTGACTGTAGCAAGCTTCTCTTTTGACTCTGTCGAGGGCGACCATTTAGCGATGTCATTTTAACGGTCGATGCCTTTATAAGTAATGACGCCTGCAGACATGCAAGATGTGAGATTTGACTTGGATGAAGTTACAATAAGGCAAAAAATAGATTTCTAAATAGTCTTAGTAAGAACAAAATGTGGGCCAATATTGAATTTACGACATGTACAACTATTTGGACAAAGGGCTTGAGGCACCAGTTAAAGATGTATCAGCTATGAAAAACAGTTTTAAAATTATTATTTGTGAGTACTTTTTTGGAAAAATTTGGCAGTCCGGTGTGGTTGCGTAGTGGTTAAGGGAACGGTTATCTTAAGAAAGGCCTTGGTTCGAATCTGGGTATTGAATTTCTTCCTTTTTTAGGAGAAAAACCTCCATAACAGCGAAAGAAGGGGAAAATTGTTTCGACCTTAGCAAGTCGCGGCCCCGACAACCGATTGTACGTGCGTATTGTATTCAAAGTGAATGAAGTCAATAGTGAATAGAGTTTAATATTTATTCGTACAGAACTTTGTTCAGCTAAACTATTCTTGTAAACCATTGTGCTATTTTCGAGAGATTTCATTAGTTGAGTACTAAACGTTCTGATTGAAAACGTATGACTGCCATTTAAGTTTAAACAATACTGTTACACTATTGGTTTAAGTCAATGATCACACGACATAGCCAGTACCTTACCTATTCACAGAGCTTTATCATCCTGGTAGTGGCAGCTATGGACAAACGTTTCTGTATTCTTAAGTTTTATAATTTTATAGGTCTCTACGCGAACAAGTTTTGCTCACCAGGTTTTTCGTTGAGAAGGTAAAATACTTGTGAAGTTGTCTAATTAACACGGCCTAGCAAAACTTGTCAAATAACTCTTACTCGTGCATTGTTTTGTAATTTATTCATCCACGAAGCACGTGGGAGCTCTGAAGAAGTCTTTTTATAGTGTCCGTGCGTTCCACAGGGCAAAAACGGAGTACCTGGAGAAAAAAACCTCTCATGCCCGAAGCAGGAGAGGAAAACAACAACTAGCCTGCGAAAACATCCGTTTCTCCTCACTCTTCGCCGCTGGGGACGTTTTGCGGGAAGGAACATCTGCGACTCAGCGACAGAAATTCCGTACTGATGACGTAAAATCTGTCCGGAATCCGGTCAGAAGCGCTGATTGGTCGACGGAGTAGTTACATTGTTTTAGCTATTGTTTACGAATGACAGACAAAAGACAAAAGGTAGTGAAAAGCTCGGGAAATTATTAGGATTTGGACAAAACGCGCGTGAAATTATTCCCTAATTTCACGAGTATACCATTTGATTACCTATTAATATCATGGGTGACGAATTGCGTTAGCTATCAAGGATTTTCGCCGTGTTTTTCCGGGATCGTATCAATCAAGAAGTCCTGCACTCTCTCGAACGTTTAGAGCTTAAATTTGGCTTAAGTTCAGAGTTTTTCGACAAAATACCTGTTAGAATCCTTCTTGATGTGCTCTTTCGTGTCTTCAGGTTTTCTAAAGCGTCTATTTGTGCCCCGACATCTTCAGTCATGACATTTTAAAACTTCGTCGCCATCTTGACACTGAGACGTACGTTAGGTTGCCATGGCAATTTTGTAATTTAAATTAACGCTGAAATTTCGCGCCAAAATTAATTCGTCACCTATGATATTAGCGTTGGAACTCAATACGCTACATAAAGTTAAAGTTAACAAAATTAATAGATGCGCGTGCACGCAACTATAGAGAAAGCGTCAGATCGATGTGTTTCACCTGGCCTGTTGATTAAGATGAGGCTTTTCCCACTTAATGTACATAGACTCCGTGAGACGATCTGTCCGATGACATGTGCTCGTGCACGCGCGTGGAAAGGTGTCGGTTTGTTTTGCCAACGTAACAAGCGTTACAGCTTATAATACCGCTTATCGTTAGGCCTAAAACGATTCACTTTTTTCTTGGCTAAAAGCCTGCTATCTTTGCTCTCGTATTTTCCAGTACTCACCTTCCGTCTCTTGTCCCAAATCTGAATGGCCGCTTTCGGCTACTCTCCATCTTTTATTTTTCTGTTGAATTCGAAAGATTTCTGTTTCCATTTGACCAGAGCGAGTCACTGGAAGTGAAAATAGGCGATTATGTTTTTGTATTTGAAGTTCTACGTGAATAAGTGCGATACAGCACGCAATAGACAGAAGCAAAGCTGACTTGCAACACACACTGTCAGTTTTTGTAACTCTGCTTAAATGCCTCTCCTCTGATCTTACTTGTTTCATGATAAAACCGCTTGGTTAGGACTACTACGTCACAAACACCAAGTGAAGCAGGGACCTCACACTGAAACGGCTTTCCAACTTGACCTTTGATAATCGCTTTCCTACACAAACTATTTATATCTCTGACAAATATGACTGATATGATGAAACGACAAGTGCCGGGAGTTATCTCAGCTTAATGAACGAATACATGTATAACTGCAACAGGAAGTCACTGGTCATAATAAGGTGAAATAGAGTTTATAATTTACGAGCTGTGGGGAACACGTCTTGCATAGGTTTATACATTTAATTTTTTTTGTTTATTTGTTTGTTGTTAGCACCTTTGCATGTAGTTTTTAATGAATTTATTAGAAAAGTTAATCAAGGACGTGACAGATTAGGTTGTGGTTATTTGGGGACGCGTATTGCGCATGTGCATATTACCAGTCACGCCACTGAACCGTTACGTTGTGTTTCTTAAATAAACGCATTTGTCTACTTTAGGCCTTATTCTTCCGCTCGGTCATAGTGCTGTTGGGCCACCCGGTGTTCGACTTGTCCCCCGAGAGATTATAGTGACTTTGAAAGGCCCACACCTGATTTAAAAACCTGATGTTGTCGAACTCAAATAATTTTTATTTTAGGAATTGTAGCAAGCATCTCGTTTGACTCTGTCGACGGCGACCATTTAGCGATGTCATTTTAACGGTCGATGCCTTTATTAGTAATGACGCCTGCAGACGTGCTAGATGTGAGATTTGATTTGGATGAAGTTACAATAAGGCAAAAAATAGATTTGTAAATGTCTTAGTAAGAACAAACTGTGAGCCAAAACTGAATTTACGACGATTGTTTGGAGAAAGGGCTTGTGGCACCTATTAGAGATGTATTAGCTATGAAAGACAGTTTTAAAATTATGATTCGTGAGTACATTTTTTGAAAAATTTTGGCAGGTCGGTGTGGTTGGGTAGTGGTTAAGAGAGCGGTTATCTTAAGGAAGGTCTTGGTTCGAATCTGGGTTGGGAAATCCTTCCTTTTTTAGGAAAAAAACCTCCATAACAGCGACAGGGAAAACTTCCTCGACTTAGCAAGTCGCCCCGACAATTGATTGTACGTGCGTATTGGGATTAGTCATTGCATTTGAAGCTAAAAGGGAGTTTAAAATATTTATTTTTACAGAACTTTGTTCAGCGAAACTATTCTTGTCGTATAAGAGTAAACCAATGTGCTATTTTCGAACGATTCCATTAGTTGAATACTAAACGTACTGATTGAAAACGTATGACTGCCATTTAAGTTTAAACAATACTTTTACGCTACTGGTTAAAGTCAATGATCACATGACATATCCAATGCCTTACCAATTCACAGAGCTTTATTATCCTGGTAGTGGCAGCTATGGACAAACTTTTCTGTATTCTTAAGTTTTATAATTTTATAGGTCTCTACACGAACAAGTTTTACTCACCAGGTTTTTCGTTGAGAAGGTAAAATACTTGTGAAGTTGTCTAATTTACACGGCCTAGGAAAACTTGTCAAATAAGCACTTGGGAGCTCTGAAGAAGTCTTTTTATAGTGTCCTTGCGTTCCAGATCGAATTTGGAAGTGTAGGTGTTTGAGGACAGGGCAAAACCGGAGTACCCGGAGAAAAAACCTCTCACGCCCGAAGCAGGGGAGAAAACCAACAACTAGCCTGCGAAACATCCGTTTCTCCTCGGTCTTCGCCACTGGGGACGTTTCGCGCGGAGGACCGTCTGCGACTCAGCGACAGAAATTCCGTACTGATGACGTAAAATCTGTCCGGAATCAGGTCAGAAGCGCTGATTGGTCGACGGAGTAGTTATATTGTTTTGGCTATTGTTTACGAATGACAGACAAAAGACAAAAGGCACCAATGTGGCCAGCCCCAGGTTAAAATCCTGGCGTCGACGCAATCTGTTGTTTGAGTTTGCTGTTGGTTAGCCTGCGAAAACATCCGTTTCTCCTCGCTCTTCGCCGCTGGGGATGTTTCGCGCAGATGGACGTCTGCGACTCAGCGGCGGAAATTCCATACTGATGACGCAAATCAATTTTTACAAAATAATTCCGGTAGTCATGGGTTTCCAAATATAAATTTGTCCAATTTTAGGTGTCTTCTGGTCGATTTTGGTAAAGTGTTATGTCCATCTGCCAAGAAGCTCCAGCAAAACTCAAATGTTTCTTCTAGAGTAGACTATATTCCACAAATATTGACTGTTTTGTTAGAGATTCTTCGCGTTTACATTTGACCTTTGTTGGGAGGCGAGCGCTCTCACCACTGCGCCACCCTTGCTTCTCGAACTCCATCCTTGGCACTTATCAGCGTTTTTGAGTGCACATTACAAAGAATAGTTCATTATTCATTCACTCATTGTCTCTGCTTTGTATTTTACACGACTTGCGAGAGTATCGTGTTAAGAATAGCCGATTAAAATTATGTCTTTAAAAAAAGAATCAGTAAAGACGATAAGGTTATTGCTGCCAGGTACTATTTCTAGTAAGGTGGTGCTTATACATGTGAAGTAAGACTTGATCGTTATATTCATACTTCAGTAGTAGAAAAGACTGGTTAGGAAAGGCGGAAAGCATCAACGATAAAACTAAAAACCGTGCGGTAGTTTATTTTGGAAGCTCTTTTGTTCCGTGCTCACAAATTGTGACTTAATGAATGAGTGCGTCGTTTTTATTGGTCAATAAAACCGAAATGAAAGGAATGCTATGAACGTTTGTGCACCTTCAAGTTCACAAAGCATATAACGAAGGAGTCTGACAAGCTTCAAAACCATTTCACTCTTTTAACTATGATATAATGAACGAAAGCATCAGCTAAACGAAGCAGGAAGCAGTATCGTAAGAATGCGCAGATTTCTATTAGAAGTTATAACTAGTTGACTAAACGTTTTCAACTTTCTTTTACAAATCAAAAGAAGAAGCATTTCTTTATGCTGTTCCAAAGCACTTAAGTTTTCCGAGTGTGTGGTAACCTTGTTCTTTGGTGCCACCAGTATCGCCAAACCTGAGTTGTATCACAGGAAGCTTGGTCTTGTCAGTGAGGAGACCGCTGTCTTCACGCCATACATAGTCATTCTTGTCACAGTTACAGCCATCACTGGGATTTGCACACGAGTTAGTCATCCCGCATGCGCACTTACCATTGCCAGATGCTCCACCCCAGTACGTCATCTTAGTAGAATCACGTGACACCCACCATCCAAATTTATTGTTGTTGTTAAGCAAAAGTGAACCGTAACACTGGTACTTGATAAACTGTTCACAATGCGATGAGACTCTGGTGAGACTTGCCAGCTGAGAGAGGCTCACTCCTGTGTAACGAACATCTCGTGAATAAGCACCTTGACTTTCGTATCCTTTCGCGGATGTTCTGCTTTCACTGTCGTGACTGATGACCGTCACGCCAACCCCATTCTTTTCTGTCATATCACAATAAACAGTAAATGGTGCCAGACCGCCCTCGCCATCTGGATCAATGACGTAATTTCCGCTTGTGCTGCTGTCTTGTTTTCTGATGACAGAACAGGAAGCAGCAACTGGAAAATTGAGTTTCACTTTGATTTCTATTGTTGTCAAAGGATTACTCGCTCTACAGGTGTAAGATCCTTTATGTGATATTTTGATGCTCCCAAGAACTAGAGTGTTATCTTGCAGAATCCTTGAACCAACCGGAAGTATAGAGTCGTCTTTTGTCCAGGTGAGAGTAGGTCTCAGGTCACTCTCGGCCACACATGGCAGGCGAACAGTTGAGTCAACCACAGGAGTTAGCTCTTGAGGTGGTCGAATTTTGAACCGAAGAGGCGAAAAAAGCATCAACTGAGCCATAGCTATCGCTGATCCCAGGATATTATCTGCTTTGCACGTGTATATTCCACCATCGTCTCTCGTCACTTGATAGATCTTTAGGGCGTCATTCATCTCTTCAGTTCTTCCTGTTGTCAAAACTCCTCCTAACTTGGACCACGTGATGGTAGGTTGAGGCTGACCAGTGGCAGTGCAGACGATAGTGACGTTTTGGTTTTGTTCAGCCATCTGGCGATTTGATGGCATCAATATCTGGGGACCAACTGGCAAGAAATTAAAAAAAACGCTTTTATTCTGGTGACAAAATTCTCTCCACGATTTTAATTTCGTGGAATTTGTAACCTATACATTACTGATGACGTAAAATCTGTCCGGAATCCGGTCAGAAGCGCTGATTGGTCGACGGAGTAGTTACATTGTTTTAGCTATTGTTTACGAATGACAGACAAAAGACAAAAGGCAACAAAGGTCAAATGTAAACGCGAAGAATCTCTAATAAAACAGTCAATATTTGTGGAATATAGTCTTCTCTAGAAGAAGCATTTGAGTTTTGCTGGAGCTTGTTGGCAGATGGACACAACACTTTACCAAAATCGATCAGAAGACATGTAAAATTGGACAATTTATATTTGGAAACCCATGACTACCGGAATTATTTTGTAAAAATCGATTTGCGTCATCAGTATGGAATTTCCGCCGCTGAGTCGCAGAGGTTCCTCTGCGCGAAACGTCCCCAGCGGCGAAGAGCGAGGAGAAACGGATCTTTACGCAGGCTAACCAACAACAAACTCAACTAACAGATAGCGTCGACGCCAGGATTTTAACTCGGGGTTGGCCACATTTGTGAAAAGCGAGTGCTGTAACCACTGCGCCACCCTTGCTCCTCAAAATCCATCCTTGAGACTTATCAGCGTTTTTGAGGGCACGTTAGAAAGATTAGTTCATTATCCATTCACTTATTGTCTCTGCTTTGTATTTTACACGACTTGCGAGAGTATCGTGTTAAGAAAAGCAGATTAAAAATATGTCTTTAAAAAATGAATCAGTAAAAACCATAAGGTTATTGCTGCCAGGTACTATTTCCAGTATGGTGGTGCTTAAACATGTGACATAAGATTTGATCGTTATATTCATAGTTAGCAGGCAAGACTGGTTAGGAAAGGCGGAAAGCATCAACGATTAAAAACTGATAACCGTGCGGTAGTTTATTTTGGAAGCTCTTTTGTTTCCTGCTCACAAATTGTGACTAAATAAATGAATGCGTCTTTCTTATTGGTCAATAAAACCGAAATAAAAGGAATGCTATGAATGTTTGTACACCTTCAAGTTCACAAAAGCATGTAACAAAGGAGTCTGACAAGCTTCAAAACCATTCCACTCTTTTAACTATGATGTAATGAACAACAAAAGCATCAGCTAAACTAAGCAGGAAGCTGTATCGTAAGGATGTGCAGATTTGTATTAGAAGTTATAAATACTTGACTAAACGTTTTAAACTTTTTTTTTCAAATCAAAAGAAGCAGCATTTCTTTATGCTGTTCCAAAGCACTTAAGTTTTCCGAGTGTGTGGTAACCTTGTTCTGTGCTGTCACCAGTATCGCCAAACCTGAGTTGTATAACAGGAAGCTTGGTCTTATCCGTGAGGAGACCGCTGTCTTCACGCCATACATAGTCATTCTTGTCACAGTTACAGCCATTACTGGGATTTGCACACGAGTTATTCATCCCGCATGCACACTTACCATTGCCAGATGCTCCTCCCCAGTACGTCATCTTAGTAGAATCTCGTGACACCCACCATCCATATTTGTTGTTGTTGCTAAGCAAAACTGAACCGTAACACTCGTACTTGATAAACTGTTCACAATGCGATGAGACTCTGGTGAGACTTGCCAGCTGAGAGAGGCTCACTCCTGTGTAACGAACATCTCGTGAATAAGCACCTTTACTTTCGTATCCTTTCGCAGATGTTCTGCTTTCACTGTCGTGACTGATGACCGTCACGCCAACCCTATTCTTAGCTGTCATATCACAATAAACAGTGAATGGTGCCAGACCGCCCTCGCCATCTGGATCAATGACGTAATTTCCGCTTGCGCTACTGTCGTGTTTTCTGATCACAGAACAGGAAGCAGCAACTGGAAAATTGAGTTTCACTTTGATTTCTATTGTTGTCAAAGGATTACTCGCTCTACACGTGTAAGTTCCTTTGTGTGATATTTTGATGCTCCCAAGAACTAGGGTGTTGTCTTGCAGAATCCTTGAACCAACCGGAAGTATAGAGTCGTCCTTCGTCCAGGTCAGAGTAGGTCTCAGGTCACTCTCGGCCACACATGGCAGGCGAACAGTTGAGCCAACCACAGGAGTTAGTTCTTGAGGTGGTCGATTTTTGAATCGAAGAGGCGAAAAAACCATCAGTTGAGCATTAGCTATCGCTGATCCCAGGATATTATCTGCTTTACACGTGTATATTCCACCATCGTCTCTTGTCACTTGATAGATCTTTACGGCGTCGTTCATCACTTCATTTCTTCCTTTTGGCAAAACTCCTCCTAACTTGGACCACGTGATGTTGGGTTGAGGCTGACCAGTGGCCGTGCAGACGATAGTGACGTTTTGGTTTTGTTCAGCCATCAGGCGATTTGATGACAAAAATATCTGGGGACCAACTGGCAAGAAATAAAAGAAAAACGCTTTTATTCTGGTGACAAAATTCTCTCCACGATTTTAATTTCGTGGAATTTGTAACCTATACAGTTAAAACTCCTCTATGGCACATTTCCACAACGGCCACATTCACCGGCCGAAAAACAATACTTATCAAATATCCAAAAATTTGACCTCTTATTTACTTTAAACTTAACTCCTATTCAGCGGTCACCTCTATCAGTAAGCGAACGTGAACTTCCTCTAAAACTAGACTTCCTAAATGGTTAGTTCTTTTGCAGTTCACCATTCGTACGCAGTCAATGCCAAGGAAATTGGTCTCAACCTCAAGACCAAAGTAACTTGATTCCTCTTGATTAGGACTTCTCTGCAGTTCATTGGTTTCTTTAAAAAGGTCATGACTAATGAATCAAATTCATCGAAATAACACTATACTATAGTTTTTCATTTACGTTGCTGCAGTTTCCCAGTTGCTAATCAGGTGATTTGATGACAATTCAGTAAAGGACGGAACTGGCAAGAAGTAGAAAATCACGTTTATTCTGCAAACAAAATAGTGCATCACACCGCTGCGTTTTAGAGAGTTATGGGTCTTCTAATGAAAGTCAGACAAAGTAACTGATGAACGGCAAGAGGGGACCATCTGTAGGTTTCCGTGAGAATACTCTTACAACATGTCAGAAAATGTATTAGGGAGAGATAGAAAAACATCTTGAAATCTTGAAGAATGAAATGCAACTTACACTGCACCGTTAGCCGCGCGCTGGCGTTGATGGTTCCCAGCAAATTTTCAGCTTTGCAGGTGTAGTGGCCCTCGTCTCCAGGTCTAACATCCTGAAGAATCAGAGCACCACTGGACTCTACCGCGTGACGCCCGACAGGAAGTGATGAATTCACCTTAGACCATGTGACCCTAGGAGGAGGACTGCCAACCGCTGTACATTTCAAGATGGCTGTCTGACTTTTATTGACTGTCGTTTGAACAGGCGGCTGTAACAGGGAGGGAGCCGAGATAGATTGTCCCGGTGCGCCTTTCACACCAGGCGGACCTCTAGGACCAGGAGGTCCTGGCGGACCTTGCATTCCGCGAACCCCCTTTTTGCCAATTGGTCCCTGTGGTCCTACTGGTCCATGTTTACCAGGAGATCCTGGTGGTCCGGTTCTCCCTCGGGGACCCGGTATACCTTCGGGTCCTCGTCTTCCCCGTCTTCCAGTATTACCCTTCGGTCCTGGAAGACAGAGTTTTTCATCTTTGGCACAGATTTGATTCTGCAGCAGACGAAGTTCTTTTTTAATGAGCAGTTTTACATCAGAAGCTGTTTTGACCGGTTTCGGTTGTGAGTCATCGGATGAAGCGCGTCTTTGACGTGGCGAACTTTCCTGACCTTATGAGAGAAATTAGAACACATACCGTGCTTATTAAATAAACTTCAGGAACAAACAGTAAAAAAAATGCCAGTAAAATATTTTTAGTCACTATGGCAGGTTCCGCAACCGGGAAAGACTAAACTAATTCTCTGTTTTGGTTGGCTGCCTGAGTGGGCAAGAAGAGCCTATCTGAACG